AACCTCGCTAGAGTAATTCGCCTATAATCAGAGGTATTCAACCTGCAGTGCCCACTATTCCCCTTCTCGAGGGTGCCAGGGGTACGGAAACACGAGCTTTCGCGTTCTAGGCGCATCAGCAGATGCTAAAAGAACTTTGGTAAGTACGAAGTACATGTAGAAAAGAAAACGTAAATATTTCTTTCATACTCATGAAGTTCTGAAGAATTTACCTGAGGAGTCACATCGTCTCCCCCATCCTTATATATGAGGAACTTGTGAAAACGCAATTATAAATGAGAATATAAAACGGTATAGAAAAAAAAAGTTCTATAAAAAATCCTTCGCGACGAGGTGTCTTCGGAAGAGTACAAAATTCTGGAGTGAGAAAAAAAAAAATTCAAAAATGTCTTAAAAGACACGAAGGAGAATGTTTTCAGGATTAGCGCTGATGAAAAGGGGTTGAATACCACTGGTCTATAATAATGTATACAGGGAGCACCATGATAGACCCGTGCGCGCCTCTGCGTTCCACTTGGAAAAATGGATTAGCCATCTCGTGCACCCGATTGACTTACGCTAACGTAAATGCAACAATTTCGACTGAGCGTCGCGTGGACGGGCTGGGGAGAAAACTTCCAGGCCCGCCCGCGAAGTTCCCACGAAACCAAGGTCGGCGACTTCGATTCCGGGCAAGAGCGTGCAGCGCGAATTCGACACGAGATTAATAATAAAATATCACAGTTCCGAGTCTGAAGAGTCGCTCCTGAAAATCATGGCTCTCCCTTTACGTTTACGTTACGCGTCCGAGAGACAACGGATTCCCTTTTTTCCTCTTTTTATAATCGTAAGACATATCTAGTTAACAACAATCCTACACTCTACTGTAAGATTATCTATTTCGGAAACCGTAACGTTTAATAGTTATAATACGTAGTCCATATACAACTCGCTAAGGATGCTGTAAACTGTAATTTACTGGCTGCTAAATGTTCCATGAATACTGTACGTATGTATGTGTTACGCATTTAAATGTATGTATGGAGAATGATTTAAAAGAGATGACACATAGACGCGACATGACGCTTGCCACGGAGAACAGCAAACCGATTTCGGTGATAAAAAAAAAGAGATGGTACGCATTATAAAAAAAATCATATTTATGGAAGAGTAACGCGTAATGCGAATCAAATTTTCAACTCTTTGCGATTCATTATTTTCATCTTGAAATTGTTTCTTCGAATAAAATTATTATATAATTTATCATCTAAATTGAATAATGTCTACATTAAGCGTAACGAAATCCTGAATTAAAATTAAAATTATTAAAACTTGTATTGGAATAAAAAATGCGATCCAAATAGAATGAAATTTTATACAATTCAGATCTTTAAGAAGACAATTTCAAAATAGAGATACTATCGAATCGTAAAGAGCTGCATAACAATTACATTATTATAACGTATAAAGTGTAGTGTATGATGAAATAGAAGAAAACATCTCGTTGAACAGTAAATTCTAACACAGTTCATGCGCGTAAGAAATCTGCATTTCAATTTGCATTTTATAGTACAATGTCAATGTTAGAAGCCTATAGCTTGCAAGTATTAATTAATCTTGCTGTATCATTATCATCGAGGAGGATCGATTACAAAATTGTGAAAAATTTGTCATGGAAGTTTTCTGCATTTCGTTTCCTCTTAAAAATCAGAAATCAAATATCTCAGATAATATGCTAAATTATCCGTAAAAAAAAATTATAAAAGCTACTATAATTAATTCTCTAAAACATTATTCGTAAAATTGTTATGAATTAATATCATAATCGAGTCTTGAGAAAAAGATATGAATGCAAAATCTCATAAATTGTCGTAAATCATGGTGTTAATTCTTGAATTTCACGAATTGAAAATGCACGCGTCATGGACGTTGTTAAGTATACTTGATACGAGAATTTTGTTTCATCGTCATCAATGACTATCCCCCTCTTTGTTACGAAAATATACAAAATATACAAGAATAAGCTAAGTGATTGAATGTAACGCGTGAAGCTAAATGATAGTATACAGCGCTCCTTCCCTCCATTCAGATGGTACAATTTACTCCTCCTTCAATCATTCCAGAATCATATGCGTCAACTTATTAATTTCAACGTTAAGAAGCTACTGATAAAAGGCTAATCTGACGAAGCACAGCGCGCAAGTACAAAAAGTAGAAAAAGTCACGAGGAACGCAATTAGTTATAGTATGAAACATATTGTAATCTAAATTGCATAGTCTAAGCATTCGTACAAAATCTCATTTGATGCCATTCTAATGAGACTGGAGGATCAAACAAAGGAGTGATTTGTACCGCTTGATGAGTACATTTTCTTGAAGTTAACTAGTGAACAAAAACGCATCGCAAGAACGGCGTCGACAGTTAAAATATTCTGAACATTTCAACAGATTGCACGGTTCAATGATGACGGCGATCACGCTCGTCCTTCATGACATATCGATATTGCAAAGTACTCGAGTACCTGCCATCAAAAATCCTTTTAATATCTCGATATTTCTGACTAAATATTTACATCGATGCGTTTTGCAATTTCAGTCTATTAAGCTTCACAAACACGCGGCTTTGAGTCTCTGCAGCGACTTTCTCGCATTTCGTGGCCACTAATCCAAAGGTATCTTAGCCGCGTTACTTCTCTACTGAGTGGGTGGTTGAGGCTCGCTGGACATATTCGGATTCGGATACGGCAGGAATGAATAATTGGGATAGGGCGGCGGAGGATGTGGGAATGGTGAATAGTAATTAGGGGGATGTGAAGAGGGAGGAGCGTATCCTCTGTGCATATAGGGATCCGGTCGGGGGTGGCGGACCATGGAACGCCGAATACATGCGGGCATAATCCGTGTTGTAGCTGGGCCCACCATATGCTGGATAACCTGGTGCTCCTACAAATTAATTTCATTAGTATTTTCATTAACAAATACTGTGAATAAAATGTTTCAAAAAATGTTGACATATTTTTTAAATGCAAAAAAAAAAATTAAAAACCTAAAGGACTCAACAAATAAAATAAAATCTTGAAATTTGTCTTTAAAATAAAAACGAAATTTTATTTTAAGTTTGATTTTATAATAAAAACTTAAAACTCACCACCTGGAGGATAAGCTGCGGAAGAGCCTGGTGCCGGTGGATAATGCTGCGAGTACGGATCGTATGGTCCCGGTGGATACGGTCCCGGATACCGTGTGCTAGTAGGATGACTAAATGCTGTAGGAATATGCGCTTCGTCTCTGCTTGAAGAGGCCACCGTCGTAGTCGCTGTTGTAGTGTCCGTACTCTTAGACTCCGTCGCGGAGTTGCTCGTTAATGTTTTGGCAGTAATGCTCGGTATTTGAGAAGAGTAAGCGGTAGGCACATTCATCACGTTCCTCTCGTCCATAGGCTTGCCTAAGTCCGGTTGAGGTTTCGTCGTGTCTACTGGCAGTCTACTGCTGGGATTCGCCGTGTGTGGTGGAACGCCAGGGAAATAAGTGCCATAAGGATTAGATAGCGAGCGAGATCGCGGATCGCCGTAATCGTAATATCTCGGATACTGTGCATAGGGATATCCCTGAGGCAAACTCGGCGTCGGATCACTCTGAATTATGTTGTCTCGCATGCTTGGAGTTGGCTCGGCGCTTTTCGGAGAAGTAATATTGGCGCTGGTGCATACCGATGCAGTCGATGTTGCGTTAGTCATCGAATCAGCGATACTTTTAGATGTTTCTGGAACTCTTGCAGATGGTACCGGTACACACGATACTGGCATACTCGATGATATCGGCATGTTCGACGGTATGTTCGGCGACATGCTTGATGTTATTGGTATACTTGATGGCATATTCGACGGCATACTCGATGATATATTTGATGGCATACTGGATGGCATACTTGAAGATATCGGTGGTACATTCGACGATATCAGCATGCTCGGCGGTATGCTTGATGATACTGGCATGTTCGGTGGTATGTTTGATATTGGCATGCTCGGTGGTATACTTGATGATACCGGTATGCTCGATGGTATGCTCAATGGCATACTTGATGGTACCGACATGCTTGGTGGTAAATTTGGCGGCATATTCGACGGCATCGGCATATTCGGTGGTATATTCGGGGGCATACTTGATGATACTGGTATACTTGGCGGTATCGTCATAGTCGATGGTACTGGTATTGTTGATGGTACCGTCATGGCTGATGGTACCGGTTGTGGCGTCAACAAAGACGACATTGGACTAGGAACAGTCACATGTGTTTGTGTTGCAACTTGTGGTGTCATCTGCGTTTGCACTTGAGATGATTCCTCTATGATGATATCGTCATTGGAAGCTTCTCGTTTCTCCGCCTGACTATGGAAGGGACGACCATAATTTGTTAATGTTTCTGGTTTAGAAGGTTCTTTCTCCGAGGGCGAGCATTGTTTATCAGCAGTCGGTGGCATTTCAGGTTCGGACTGATCATGTTGCGTTTGGACGCTTTGCGTAAGAGAGACGGTGTCGGGCGTGTAAACCTGAGTGCCTTCCTCGGAGGAAGGTTTTGGTAGAGACGTATCCGTATCCGAATTAGTAGTGCGGGTGTGATTAGAGGGACTATACTCGGTATTCGAGCTCACTTCAGCCACTACATCTTCCAATCTGACTTCCTCAACGCGTTGCTCGGTTCTTAGTTGACCGTCGGACGAGTTGGAGTTGTCTCCTAGGGTAGAGTGATCCATCGGCTCTTGTTTGACTTTGGGTAATCTTGATAGAGAAACCTGGTTAGTCAAGTTTACTTGACTCAAGTAAGGTTTGGCAGTTGCTGTAGCAACTGGTTTAGGTCTTTTAGAGATTTCCTTATCACCGAACGGTTTGTAACCTGGACTTGGTGATGGTTTATTGAGAGGTCGACCGCTAGTCTGATTACTCGATGATGATTTGGGTATTATGGAAATAGCCGAATTGTTCCGTAAAGGAAAACCAACTTCAGGCTTGGGATTTCTCTGTATCATCGAAGACACTGCAAAATATACATAATAAATTTTCAAATAATAAAATGCTTTTAAATAATCTAATAATCAAAAATAATCATCAATGATTACAATTTAACTCATTTAACTCACCTTTCTTTGGTTCTTCTTCTCGTTTTTGTTGATTCAATTTAAGTGCAGTACGAATTGCAATGATTTTGCCGGATTCGAGCTGCATGTAAATGCCTTTTGGACTCTTCAATACCATTACTCTTTGACCTGCTTTCAAAACAATACTTCCCTTGTCTGGAGAATTAGTTGGTATAACTACGTCTAAAGGTAGTGTCATCTCTTGCGCGCTCATTCCTTGCCTCTGCCATACTTCTGCTGGAATCCATCTGCTGCCAGTAACACTTCTTGGACCTAATCCTTCAGCTCCTCGTTGTTGCATAGGTCTAACAGATGCAACGGGTTTCGGCGTAGCGCTACCATCGCCACCGCGAATTGCTCTGATTTGTAATCCGCTTGCTGGAAGAAATAATCAAGATATATAATATATATATATATAAATATAAAGCATAATTAAAATTCTGAGTTATAATAAAAATTTTTTATTATAAATAAATATATATAAACATATATTTATATAACATTATTAAACATATATATATATATACCTCGAGTGGCTGTATTCCCGGGAACATAATTATAATTGGGTCTTGAACAATTAGCTGCCATCTTTTCAAGCTCATAACCACGACGAGCCAGTCGTTTCTCAGCTTGACTAAGTTTTTTATCCTTCCTATCAACGAGTAGACTTTCATGATGAAACGGTTGTTTAGTAAGTAACGAAGAATAACGTTCCAATACACAATGCATAACTTCGTCTGTATAACTGTCTTTAATCTGTGAGAAGTCTTGTATTTGACTATCTTCTTCCCAATCCCATGATAACGTTGTTGCTTCCTTTAGTGAAAGATGCGCATCAGGATTACACTGATCGACCACACGATCCGCCATGCCTTGCTTACTAATTTGTCGATCATAAATTTTCCTTTCCAGACAGTTATCGGTGACCAATCGATAAACGAAGCAAGGCTTTTGTTGACCATATCTGTAGACTCTGCATACAGCTTGCGTATCATGACAGGGATTCCAAGAAGCATCGAATACAATTGCGCGATTTGCACCGACAAGATTGATACCTAACGAACCTGCCCGCGTCGAAACGAGAAACAGATGAATTTTTGGATTATTATTAAATTCATTAATCAGTTTCTCTCGCTCTAATGCGCTAGTGCTCCCATCCAATCTATAATAATTTACATTCTTAATCCAAGCATCAGTTTGACCATCTGGATATTTTAAGCTATTCCGCGCTAAGAAGTCTTCTATGAGATTCAATGTAAACAGTGACTGCGAGAATGCAAGAACGCGATCTCCCAATTTAATAGCTTCCTCGAGGATGCAAAAGAAGAGCGTCATTTTCCCAGATGCATCAATTAAACCAGGTACATAGCCCTTCATCAATTCTGTTGCCTGTTACAAAATTAAGCATTACAGAAATTACTATAAAAATATAAAATAATAATTAATTTATCAAGAGTATAACAATTAAAATTTATATTTTATAAAATTCAATTTTCTATGTTATATTAAAAGGCATTAAGAACAGTTATGATATATATTATTAATAACATATCCTAACAATATAATAAATATATATTAATATTTATATATACCCAGTCATATGGAATTCCAGGATCTTCCTTCCCACTAGGAGAACTCTTGGAGAAATCTTTCTCTTCATCTTTCGTGAGGATCTCATCATCAGATTTGTCTTCTTTATCCTTCTCTAATTGATCTTCCTTTTCTCTCTCATCTTCCTTCGATGATTCATTCTGATTCAATCGCGGACTGTGTACCGGGTTAATACCCGATCCCGATCTAGGCGCGGGAGTCGCCGAACTTTGGCGATTCGGTTCGGTGTAGTTCGACGCACCAGTAAGATTGTTCTGATGCAACGGCTGACTCTGCACACCGATGCTGGATGTCATGTCTTTGTTGCTTTTGTCACACGGTGCTCCGGGAGGATGAGGTCCAGACTGCTGAGAAGTCTTGGATTCGTCGGGACGAGGATTCATGTCCGTACCGTGACCAGTTGCGTAATCATACTGATTTGGATAATTCTGCGGCGGGAAATAATTATTCGGGTAACGGTTCATGCCAGGATTCATCTGATCTCTATAATACGAATCGTTGCATTGCTGATCTGATCGGAATGTCTGCGGATAGTTACGCTGCATGTAGTAGGGTTCCTCCGCACCTTTCATCTGTCCAACCACTGGGTTTTGGTGCGAGCCATCTGACGGATAATTCGGCATAACGGGGTTTTGCGTTTGCGATTGGTTGGTTGTATAATTATTGCCAGAATTGCCGGCAGAACCTACGCTCGAACGATCATTTGAAAATTCGTTCGCAGTCGGAGCGTAACCTTGCGTTTGTTGCGATACCGTCGCATCTGGCCTGGAATAGAGCTGATCGTTCTGACTCAACGATGGATTAGGCTGATTAGGCTGTTGCTGATTCGATGGATATGTCATAGGTTGATTCTGTGCTACTTGTGCTTGTTGCGCGGTGCCATATCGATGTGCAGGAGTCTGCGGCATCGCACCTGTGTTTGGATGATTCGATGGATAACCAGGATGAGTTTGATTTGATGGTGGCACCACCGGATTTGGCTGATTCTGCTGAGGATACTGTCCTGCCTGATTAGTAGGTGCGGATTGGGACATCATATGATGACTGTAACCGTGAACCGCATTCTGCTGATTTGATGCCTGATTTGGTTGATCCGGAGGATACCTGTGCGTCTGCGTGTTAACGTTCTGCGTAGGTTGATTGGCCGGATAATTGGGATTCTGATTCTGTGCTATGCCTATTTGACCTTGCGGCCCCGGAGTGTAGCCGCGTATGGGACCCTGTGACATAGACCCTTGATTCGATTGGTTCGGTTGCATATAATGAGATGGAGCTCCGTGAGATGGAGTCTGTGGCATCGGACCCGATTGTGGATTAAATGCGTGCTGATTCTGCGGGGGAGTTGGATTCATTTGCGCAGGATAACCATGCGTCTGACTCTGAAGAGGTACACCTTGCTGTTGCTGATTTGTATATGGATGAGATTGATTCTGCAAACCAAGATTCTGATTCTGTTGATTCGGCGAGAAGCCACGATTTTGACCGGGCGATGTATTCTGATTCTGCTGCGGTACCATGTAGCCGGTAGTTTGCGTTTGGGCCGTCGGTGGCTGTCCTTGCTGAGATGCTGGATATCCCATCGTCGAGTTTTGCAACGGTTGTGCATCATTCCGCGAATATATCGGATTTGTCTGAGCTGGCGTTGGCGCTGGCGTCGGTGTATAATTTTGATTCTGATTTGTGGCATACGACGAGTAATCCGACATATTTGTGGACTGATTTGGCATCTGAGACTGAAAGGAAGGCTGATTGGAGACTTGAGGATAATTATTAGGCCCTTGATTTAAATTTGGTGTATAATTGCGCTGCTGCTCCTGATAGGGATAGTTCTGCCGTGAAAACATTCCTGATGCTTCATAATTATTTCCTTGATTCTGATCTGATCTGAAATCGGATCCAGCAGCTGTATTTCCGTATCTCTGAGAATGATTCGCGGATTGGTCATTCGATTGCATATAATTCTGTGACTGATTAGCGTATCCTTGCGATGTGTTGTAGCCTGTTGATGCTTGAGTATATGATTGAAATGGTTGATTGCTATACCTTTGCTGTTCTTGATTATTATAAAACTCTCCATGATTATATTGTCCGTGATTATTATTATCGTTCCTATAATATGTGTTTTGATCATTCGGACGATAGTTCTGATAACCATGAGGAGGATAAGATCCTTGGGGCATAGTGTTGGTGGAGTATCCTGAGTTGGAAACTGGCATCGAGTAATTAGTGTAATTATTTTGTTTTGGAGTGTTATGAGCATTTTCGGCTTCTGCATTATCATTGCTAGACGATGAGGAAGCATTTGGTTGTACGCTAGCTGCAGGTTTATTTTTTATCGTTGTTTCTCTCTTTTTGGACTTCTTGGATTCCCCTTTCGGTTGACGCGCTTTAGATTTCTTGCCACCTGCTGTAGATTTTTCTCCTATCGTTTCTTCCAGATCCAAATCATCTTCCTCGTTCGCTTGACGCTTACGGAGAAAATAGTACAGAATATCTGGATGATTCCATATCTTACAACATACAGCAAAAGCTTTCAACGGATTTGGTACTGCGCGCGTTTTCACTACTTGATTCATAAACGTATCGTATAATTTGCGTTGATGAGGCGTCATCCTAACGAGAAGAATGTATTCCTCCTTGCGTGGTAACGATATTTGCAAAACAGAATGAGATCTCCTCTGTACGAAACCCTCCAATAAAGCGTGCAATACATGCGCACGATATCGCATCAAGCGTATGTCTTGCGGTGTCGAGTCAATGCATTGACCGTTCTGTATCGGCCTCTCGAACATGTTGCAGAATTCACTCTTTGTGCCTAAATAATTAGGCCTCACAAAGTCTACCATGCACCAATATTCCAACAGATTGTTCTGCAATGGATAACCAGTTAGTACAATTCTGCGTTTTGTGCGCATCTGTTTCAATGCCATGCTAATGCTCGCATGCGAGTTCTTGATCCGATGACCTTCATCACAGATCACCAGATCTGGACCAGGATTCACCAAAGCTGAATGCATCTCATCGAGTAAGCCTTTATTTTTATCCTCCTCCTCTACGTCCACAGTATCTTTAAAGGATTGACCGCGTTTCCGCTTTGCTTTGTTAGGTTTTTTTAGAGACAACTGTCTGTATAATTCATAACCTATCAGTAAAACACCACCGGTCGATTGCCATTCTTGGATCACCTTTGCTCTTGCGGTCATTGTTTTATGTGAATCATTCAGAATGTGCAAACGGAAATGCCTCGGGCGTACTTCCATGCCGATAGGCGCATCCACATTGAACGGCGTTTTAACTTTCTCTATTGTTTCTTTCTTTTCGTCCACTAACTCCTCCTTTATTGTTGATGTGCCTTCTTCTTTTTTAATCATCTCTTCTGGTTCCTTCTTCACATTCACTTCCGCATTATGAAGTGACATTCCTCCTGGTAGTATGTTTTCCTTTTTCGGTTCCTGTTCTAATTCTTGATTCGTTTGACTGCCGTAGCTCGCAAAAGTACCGGGAATATTATTATAACTTGGGTGCATCGAACCGGGATGATGATTACTCATACTTGGATACATCGGTGGTACATTTCGATTCTCCATATCGGGATACATGGGAATACCCTGCGGTCGGTTTTCCATGCCAGGATACATAATGCCAGTGGCTTGATTCTCCATACCGGATTTTGGCCCCGGCATATTCTGTCCAGGCGGCATACCATGGCAGTTCATCGGATCAGGGAAATTGGAAAGCGGATTTGGATTCGTGTTATACATCGGATTCTGTGGCATCTCGTTCTGATGATAACTTGGTGGCATATGCGGCATGTGAGGCTCAGCCATATTCTTATTCATCATAGTAGGATTTTGCATGTAATTCGGCATCATATTGCGTTGATCGTAACCGTGATGGGGATTCGCATAGGGATTCTCTGGCATGATATTCATTGGTTGTTGCGACGCATTAACTGTTACATCCTGACCGAAACGATGCGCGGATTCTGTGCTAATAGGTCGTGACATATTAGACATGTCGCTTTGATTGCCACAACTCTCCTCTTTCACTTCGTGCTTCACATCCATCCCTGGCTCCATTTTGACATTTGTCGCCTTGGATTGTTTTTCAGCAGTAACAGTGGGATCTTCATACGGCAACCACATGTTGAACTCCGCTAACCAATTTTGGAGCGTGTTTATGGGCATGATACACAGAACAGTCTTGGCAGTGGTGCATCGAAAAAAAATGTCGCAGAAGCTGGCGACTTGAAGAGTCTTACCTAAACCCATGCTATGGGCAAGGATACAACCAAAACCACTGCTGGTTTTGTACCTTTCAATCGTTTCGATGATATTATCGAAAAGGAAACGTATGCCGCCGATCTGATGTGGCTTGATGATGCGAGCCACTTGCGGCGCCAGAAACACATCCGGCTCGGTTTCGGGATGACCCACGTTGATCAGTACGCGACCGTGCTCGTCTGGAATGTTGTAACGATCGTTGGTGTGCATCCCGGAATTGGATGGATCGTCCTCATTATCGGTCTCTTCCTCGCCACTAGGATCGCTCAGAACTATACAATCATCGTCCGAACTTTCGCTCGAACTAGATATCGTTACCACGTCCTTACCTTTGGGTGGTCTCTGGTATTTAGGCGCGCCAGACATCTTCCGCGTTGCATGCATCTGTTTCTCGTTACGTATCGCCTCCTCAGTTTCCATATCGGACAATTCGGAATCGGAATAGTACTCCGTACGGTCCATCGGTTCTTTTTTAGGTACCACCGGCGATATACTCACGGACGGCGTCATCATGCGGATCCTCTGCTGCAACATATTGGGCGCGCTGGAACGGCTCGGTACACGCGAGATAGATGTCTGAGCTCCCTGGTAGCCACCTCTACCTTTTTGCCAACGCATTCCACCGTCGATCGATCTTCGCTGCATCTGTCCCGCTTGCATTCCACTTGTCATCTGAGTAGTCTGAGAACCAGTGCCGGCACCAGAATTCACTTTTAGCAGCACGGTATTTGGCAAACGGACTTGAGTGGATGACGACGATGTCATCGACGGAAATGACGACGACGGGGAAGACGATTGCGAGATCATAGTGGTGCTGGCTTGATTCTGTTTGCCCTGCAGGAGGCTGATAACGCGCGTCTGCGCCTTATTATTCTGCCGGTTAATCGCTATCTGACGCTGTACCTCACGAATAAGCCTCTGCTGTTCCTGTACTCGCCTGAGACGTTCCATCTCCTGTCTCTGTGCAGATAATGTGGCTTCGTCCAGTTGCGTCTCGTCCATCACCTCTCGAATGTTTCTTCGCATATTGGCAAGCTTTTTCTCCGCTTTCAATTCACATTCCGATGTACTACCTTCAGTACTACCATCATCCTTCTTCGCTTTCTTTTTCGCGTTATCGGAATGATCGGAATCAGCATGTCTCTTGTTACTGTCAGTGCCTTCTTCGCCCGTCGATTGTCCGTCTGTCTTTTCATTTTCGTTATCCATACTTTCTTCATCTTCTGAATCTTTCAATATTGGTTTTCCTAGCAAATCGGCTTCGGATACTTCTTGACCTTCTATAGGTGCTCCTTTTAACAATATAAAAAGGACATTAAAATATATACGATAATATAATAAAAATAACATTAATATTTATAATTAAATAATTCTTTATAATGCTTATATTTGATCTTTCAAAAAATTAAAACAAATATAATATTTAAGAATTAAAATATATTTTAAAACAATAAATTTTCAAATATATACTTAGCTCAACTGATTTAACTATTATATGACAAACTTCAAAATTAAAATACAAATATTAAAATAATATTAAATTAAAAATTCTATTATATTAATTGAATAATTTAAAATATTAATTGTTAAATTATTATATCAGTCTAATTTAATTAAATTGTAAATAAAAAGGAAACACAAAAGGAAAACAAAAATTAATTTATTATATAAAAAATAATTTAATAATAAATTAAACAAATAGCATCTTAATTTAAGATTAATTTAAAATTAAAGAAATAGATATTAAATATGCACTGTTTAGTATATTCTGACAACAAACCTTCCAATGGTAAAGTATCCAGAATGTTAACTTGTTCATCGTCGTCGTCTTCTGGAGATGGATGATGCTGCTGCCTCTCTGACTCCATTCTTACACCGATCTGCGAATCGATCGTCTCGTCCAGATCCATATCGTCTCCTGAACCCTCCGAGCGTATCTCTTCTATTTCCTCGGATTGTAAAACATGGAGCTTCTTCTCTTGCTCGCCGTCTGTCGTTTCGCCGCTCGATTCGTCCGAGCTCTCATCATTAGTCGCGTGTGGCTCTGCGTTCATGTTTGCACTTGTCGTAGTCTCACTTGTCATCATATTTGCTTCATCAGACTTGGAACCACCGCGCGGAGTCACGCGTTCAATTGTGACATCCCCGATGCGTGTGAGAAAGTTGTCTAGACTATTAGACATGATGTGCACCGTCCATGAAGTCACAACGTGTACCTTACTGATATGGAATGTCTCACACGTTTAAACACAACACTAATTTCTATTAGCTTTAGCATTCACATTGTTTAATTGTCATTCAAATGCCTTTTCCTTCCTGTAATGACATACATATACATTCTTCATTTTATAGACATGTGTATAGAAACTATCACTTATTAACCAAGAGATAAGGTATGAATTAGGAAAGACTCAAATATGATTGTTTACATTTAAATTGTACACAAATCGAATATGATAATATTTGAACAAAAAGTTAAAATACTAAAAAGTTCTATTTCTCAGTGACCTATGTATAAATCATAAGAATATAGGTTTGTTCTTTTCGGATGATCTTTTTGCATAGTTTATCTTTCTTCCTTTTTTTTCTATGTTAGAGAGAAAAAGAAAAAAGATGAACTGCAAGAAATTCAGCTGAAAAAAACAAACCATATAATAATCTTCACAAAACAAATATCTTTAGTTAATAAAAAAATATTTTCTAATAGTTCTTCTTGCAGTTAATATTTCTGTAAACAGAGTATACATAAAAAAAATAAAAAAGTCTAAATTGTCAGCATACAATATAGAAAATAAAATATTTGATATACATGGTATGCAACATGCCAAAACTGTTTATTTAGCATTTCTTGAAAAACGCTTCGCTTGACAAAAATTAAATAAATCTTTATATTAAGTTAGAATATCATAAAAAGTTATTTAAAAGATTAAGAGATTAAGATTAAAAGATTAAGATTAAAAGATTAATTTCATAAAAAAACTTAAATTATTCTGGCATGTGTGATACTACCTCGAAAACTACCTCGAGAGATACCTGCCGGCGGCATCCGTTAATTTTATTGGCGAGCTCCACGAGAAAACACGGGGATTTGCCAAATGTAACTCTCGTTGACTCCTGGTGCCAATTTGGGTAGAGAAACGTGGCGCGCGGGATAGACGCCACTTTCCATCCGACGAAATGCCCTCTCGCAGCTCCCTACCAGAGAACCGACTTCGATCACATTATTCACTGAACAATAGACTCAACCCGTGGCACATGAGTCAAACTACCTGAACACGTGTCTGGAACAATCTATGGTAACGACAGTGGCAGTCAAATAACGAAGCATCGGAGCAGAGAAAGGAAGATGCAAGGATAGGAGATAGATAAGGCGCGATAGGCCAGAACGTTTGTTTACACAGTGTTTACGCGGATCTAATATTTTCGCACCGTTCCCTATCACTATCTTGTAGACGCGTCCTGACGTTTTCTGTCTCTCTCTTTCTCTCTCTCTCTCTCTCTCTC